TTTGTCTCATTTAGTTTAAAAGTCGTCGTGTGTTGGTCGTACTATCGTTTTGTTTACCTTTTCGCCGTGTGTCGTCATGTGCTGGTCGTATTATCGTTTTGTTTACCTTTTCGCCGTGTGTCGTCGTATGTTGGTCGTACCATCGTTTTGTTTACCTTTTCGCCGTGTCGTCATGTTCTGGTCGTACTATCGTTTTGTTTTACCTTTTCGCCGTGTCGTCATGTTCTGGTCGTACTATCGTTTTGTTTACCTTTCGCCGTGTGTCGTCATGTGCTGGTCGTATTATCGTTTTGTTTACCTTTTCGCCGTGTGTCGTCATGTTCTGGTCGTACTATCGTTTTGTTTACCTGCCGTGTGTCGTCATGTGTTGGTCGTACTATCGTTTTGTTTACCTTTTCGCCGTGTGTCGTCATGTGCTGGTCGTACTATCGTTTTGTTTACCTTTTCGCCGTGTCGTCATGTGCTGGTCGTATTATCGTTTTGTTTACCTTTTCGGTGTGTCGTCGTATGTTGGTCGTATTATCGTTTTGTTACCTTTTCGGTGCGTCGTATGCTAGTCGTTTATCGTTTTGTTTACCTTTTCGGTGTGTCGTCGTATGTTGGTCGTATTATCGTTTTGTTTACCTTTTCGGTGTGTCGTCGTATGCTAGTCGTATTATCGCTTTGGTTTACGTTTAAATACATCTTATCTTATCTTAATTAACGTCAACTAAGTCGGATTCTTCTTCACGAACGCTCCATCTAATGCGTCTCTCTGTCTTTCCTCTTCTCTACCTCTCTTCCCAATACTTATTCAACTCTTTATTATTATTTTCTTCTCAGTACTCATTTTTATTCACCTTTCTCCTCTCTCTTCTACTTCTCCCAAATTTCTTCTATCCCCCATCCACTCCCTCCCTTCCCTCACCTTCCTGTCTTTCTTCTAGCCATCTCTTCCCCCTATCCTCCCCATCCTATCACCTTCTTCCCCCTTCCCTCACCTTCCTCTATCCTCCACTCACACCCTTCTATCCTCCCACCATCCTCCATTCCCTCACCCTTCTATCCTCCCCACCATCCTCCCTTCCTCACCTCTTCTATCCTCCCTTCCCTCACCCTCTTCTATCCTCCCTTCCTCACCCTCTTCTATCCTCCCTTCCTCACCCTCTTCTACCCTCCCTTCCCTCACTCTCCCTTCATCTCACCTCCCCATCCCATCACCTCATCACCTCACAAACGACTTCGTCAGGCAGCCAGGAGGGGAGGCCAAGGTAATGAAGACAGAGAGGGAAGCAGTGGCCTCGATACCTGCCTCTCCCCTCACTCCCCCTAACCTCACCTCCTCCCTTCGTCTCACTTCCAATAACTCCTACCTTCTCTGGCCTCACCTCCTCGTCTCACCTCCCCAACCTCACCTCCTCGTCTCACCTCCCCTAACCCCTCACCTCCTCCCTTCGCCTCACTTCCATAACCTCACCTTCTCTGGCCTCACCTCCTGTCTCACCTCCCCTAACCTCACCTCCTCCCTTCGCCTCACTTCCAATAACCTCACCTTCTACGCTCCTCAGCTCACCTTCCCCTAACCACCTACCCCACCAACTATACCTCATCTTCCTCTCACTTCACCTTCTCCCCTCCTCTCACCTCCCACCAACGATAGCTATCCGCACCATTCAAAGACCCCATGGCTACGATACCTCTGAGCACTCTCCCACTCTTGTCCTCAAACACACACACACACACACACACACACACACACACACACACACACACACACACACACACACACACACACACACACACACACACACACACACGCGATGAAATTAGGAATCCGGAATTAGGATTGATCGTTGTTCGACTCTTGGCTGTTGGGAGGGGTCGTGGGATGGAGTCGTAGGGAAAGGTCGTGGTGGAAGAAGGGGTCGGGGAAGGAAGGAGAATGTCGGGGTGAAGGAGAAAGTCGAAGGAAGGAGGGGTCGGGGAAGGAAGGAGTCGAAGGGAAGGAGGGGGTCGTGGGGGAAAGAGTCGTAGGGGAAAGGAGGAATCGTAAGGGGAAGGAAGGAGTTGTAGGGAGAAGATGGAGGTCGTGGGGGGAAGTATGGAGGAGGAGGAGAAGGCCAGGTCCCCCCCATAGTCCTGAAGTGGGTGTCTTTGATCGCATTATTACAGTGGTCACCCTGGGGCCTGATTCTCCCTACCTCCTGGCCCCCTTCACTTCCTAGCCCCACGCGTCTCCCCTATCCCTCCCGGCCTATCTCCTTCCTAACCCTAACTAGTCCTGACTTCTGTTCTCCCTATATTTTGTATTGAATTTATTAAAATATTTATAAATTAACAGCTGATCTATCAAAACAAAACATTAACAGCTGATCTATCAAAACAAAACATTAACAGCTGATCTATCAAAACAAAACATTAACAGCTGATCTATCAAAAACAAAACATTAACAGCTGATCCGTCAAAGAAAAACATTAACAGCTGATCTATCAAACAAAAACATTAACAGCTGATCTAATCAAACAAAACATTAACAGCTGATCTATCAAAACAAAACATTAACAGCTGATCTATCAAAACAAAACATTAACAGCTGATCTATCAAAACAAAACATTAACAGCTGATCTATCAAAACAAAACATTAACAGCTGATCCGTCAAAACAAAACAAATACCAACAGCAGCTGTATACATTCCCAGACCCCAAGATTCAGCTTTAAAAATTGTGTCCCGTCCCCCCGGGTGTTATCTTGACTACACTACATTAACGCTAAGATACAACGTCATCACCACAATACTCTCTAAGTCATCCGCCATCTTTATTGTTTTCCAATGCGACGCTCCTGATTGGTTAAAACCTATCGCACCCATGCACATCATCTAGTCGAGTTTTAAAGCGATTTTCTTCACGTCTCGAGCCTATGTTGGGATTGATAGTGGTGCGGGAGGAGAGTATTTAATGAGAAAATTATTATCTTTCAGGAACACCATCTAAGGAGCTTTTATAAACACTGTCTCTCCTATTACTTACTAACTTTGTCTCCGGTAAAAGGTAACGTTCCAACGACAAAATAAGTCTTACTTATATTTCATGATTATTACTAAAGAAGATCTTATATGAGTGTACTTTACATATTAAACCAGTCATACAAGTGGCTTTGGAAACGTTCATTATTCAACGACACTAGTTGGTACATCCCGCGGCATCATCTACGGAGTTTTATAAAGAGTGCACTTTACATTCTAAACCCCGCGATATAGTGCCGCTGGCCAAGTATATTCAACGACAAAATTCTTATATGTGGCAATTCACATACTCGTAAAACTCGCTGGGACTTTCCGTGAAAATAAACACGAGTTTAAAAAAAAGGCGGGAAGAGTATTATCACCGTTACACCTCGGCACAATTTATGCTCCAAAAGTTAACTGGGCGTTGTGTTCCGTCTTCTGACACGCTCGATGGCGTTAACAGTGATTTCGATATATCTTTTATACCCTAAAAGATTCCACAGCGACAAGCTTCTCAAAAACACATACATAAAAATCCGAATTGGCATTCCGCGTCTTGTGAACGACGAGGCTTCTCGGACCAATCAGAGGCCGAGTTTGGCTCCCGCTGGGAGAATAAACCAATCAGCGGGGAGCTATGGCCCCGCGGGGGATTGTCTAAGACCAACTTACAAATGAGAAACTATTGTTGCTTTTTACCTTAAGATCGCCGGGGGTTTCTCAAAGTTAGTAAAAGACATAGTTCATAGCGAGAATCTACGAGCTTCCTGTGCCACAGATTTAAAAGGCAGAGAAGATGTTGGCCACCAGATAACGAGGGAGGGAGGCGAGTTATTACACCGGGAATTCTGAGAGAAGAATGTGACGGAAAGTTAGTTATTTTTTCCCCTACGTGAAGAGAAAAAGTATCATCACGGGATAATTTAACTGTGCACCACAAAACCGCTTCTGAGGTGTAGAGGAAAAAGTATAAGACTATTTGTTGGACGATGAATACACGACGAGGCGGAGTGTGGCACCTGAAACACGACCAAGTATATAAAAATGTATTACACAATAAACCCTGAACACACATACAATATACTGTATGTATATATATATATATATATATATATATATATATATATATATATATATATATATATATATATATATATATATATATATATACTGCGCTCAGTCTTAATATTTGATGTTATTTACCTTCTCGTGCGAGGTCTTTATTTATTGCAGTCCCTCTTATTTTCTTATAAAATTACTGTGTTTTTTAAGTAGAAACGGGCGACGGACGTCATAAAACGGTTATTCTTACTTAAGTCTACGACGACCAGCGTCCACCGTGTTGACGTTATTGCTGCCTGAGAGACTACAGCGCTGAGACAATTATCTCAAATGACACAAATTAATCTATCTAAACTAATTCAACTATCTTTAACTAAAATATCATAACCTAACCTAACCTATCCTAACCTAACCTAACCTAACCTATCCTAACCTATCCTAACCTAACCTAACCTATCCTAACAATCTCTACTTGACCCACAAAGAGCAATAAACGCGAGAAGAAAACCAAACTCACCGATGTCGTGGATTGTAAAAGAGTAACGGGCAACAGTGTCCACAGAGGTTCTTAAAGGTAGATACAAAACCTATAGTAATAGACGACATAATTCACTCTCGCCAGGACTCGGGTATTCAACATAATTCTATGATAATTCACCATCCTCCACACAGCAGACCGTCGTGGGAACTCCCTCAAGGACAGATTATATTCGGAGACATTTGAGGGAGACCAACTCATCTAATCCGGCCGTACTAATCACCTAATCAGGACATGCTAATCACTTAAATCACCTGCTATTCAGGGCATACTGAAGACACCTATAGTAAGTGTGGGAATGTTGTCTAATCGGTCAGTACCTAATCCCTGTCCATCTCTCTCACACACACACACACACACACACACACACACACACACACACACACACACACACACACACACACAACTTACCAAACATACCCTCAGTTGGGTCAAGACGCTTGGCTCGTCGGCCGTGCTTCGAGTTATTGTGGACGAACATGTTGTCTGAGACGGCCAGGAGAGGTCCCGCCACGTCCACCTGCTGAGAGATCACCACCTGTACGGAGAGACAAGGACACGGGCGTTAGTTAATCACGCACACTTGGAGGGGTATGGGATTTAAGGTCACGTACGTTAGGGGGAAATATATAGGTAAGAGGGTTATGTTACCTAAGGACACGTACTAAGGTACCTATAATACGTACATTGCGAGAGAAAAATGTGAAATACAGTACGTACAGTATCTCAAAAAAGTATCTGTCCATACACCGTGTGAAACATTATGATGACCACGGATAATATATATTGGGACATGGATTTACTTTGGTATATAGTTTAACTTAAGTGATGAAATGTGTAAATATTTCGACGTAATTAATATGATGTTCGGTTACCAAATGTAGTAAGATCAGTATGACACAGAACCCCGTATACCAACCCTCCCGAGACATGACGAGTTGCATGTAACATTTCGGAAGTCATCGGATCCAGCCTGGTAGATACTTGTTTGGGATATTGTACATACTTAGTAAAAAATATAACACTAAAAAAAAAAACAGAATAACTACAAATATGCACATAGTTTTGAAATACTTACACAAGGATTGAAAATACTTACATAGGAATTATAAACGTACATAGGAGTTACCAATCATCACATTAATGAAACCCTAAATGGTTGTCTACATAAAGCTCCCTCCCTCCCACCATTTCCTCATTCCTGACTCCTTCCTTTACACCTTCCACTCCCTTCCTACTTCCCCTATCCCTGACTCCTCCATCCCTCCCTCCTTTGCTTGTCATCACTACAAAAAGTGTTTTCAGGGTTCCCAGGCATTGTAGGATTGAGCGTGTGTGTAGGGGGAGGAGAGGAGAGGGTTGCCTACTTATTCCTATCACTTACCCTCCTCCCAATCATCACCACCTCTACCTCCTACTTCACCCCCCTTCCCTGCCCCACCATCACCCCCCTCCCACCTTTCATCCCTCCTCCCCATGCCATCATCATCACCTCCCTCTCCCTCCCCACCTTCACCCTCTCATGCCCCACCACCTCACCTCCTCCCTCCTCTGCCCCTCATCCCCTCCTCCACTGCCCCACCATCACCTCCTTTCCCCCACCTCCCCTTCCACCCCTGCTCCACCACCAGCCCTCCCCCATCCTTCACCCCGCCACCCCCATCGTCACCAAGTGGTCTGTCTCACACCCCAGAGGACACTATGTGTGTGTGTGTGTAGTGTCAGTGAGGGCGATAAGTGTAACACATGGATGACACTCTCACGTGGTGTAGCTGAGCGTAAACAACTTGCACAGGATCCACAAACAGGCAATCATAGAGGCGTGTAAACAGGAGATCTAGAGGGTGTAAATAGGCGATCTAGAGACGTAAACAGGCGATCTAAAGGTGTAAACAGGAGATCTAGAGACGTGTAAACAATGATAATTTAACACACGTGAAACCGACAATAAATCAATTATTATCTCACACCTTCCAATGATAAACAAGAAAATACAATTACAAAATTAAAAAAAATGTGCGGCAACTGCAGGAAGTCTCTGATGCGGAAGTGACGTTGAGTGGCGGGAAAGATAAAGTGACACCGGATTGGCGGATTAATGGCGGGTAAATAGGTCACGTGACAACAAAAAAGGCGGGAAAGTCTGGCGGGAAGTGGACACGGGTAATCCCTCGCGCGCGAATGGAGTCCACTGATAAGGGAGTGAGAATTCGTCTTTGGTTTACTGAGGGTAGAACGCGGATGGTGGCTTCGGCTAGGATTGGCTACACTCCACCACTACTCTTAACCTCATTCTTACTGGCTTGAGACACTAACGATGTATCCTCAAAGGTTCCTAAGTGTTAATATGTTCTCTATCCGACTCGAAACTTACGATAGATTCTCAAAATACTTCGTAAGTTTTAATTCTCCCTTTACCCAGTTCACTTTAATTACGCCATATAGATAAATTCTCAAAAAAAAAAACCTGCGATCGACTTTTCCCCCAAACAGAAAGGAGATCATGTCAGACTATGGTAAAGGCTCAATGTAATTTAACCGCCATTTTGAGTTTAAAAGCGTGCTTGATGTTCATAATTATTCACTTCTAGAAAAGAAAAAAAAGTGGTAATTGAGCTGAGAGAGAGAGAGAGAGAGAGCTATTCGAGGGTGGAGGGGCTGTGAGGGATGATTTACTTACACCTCACTAACTCAACAAATATAAAAGGTGTCTCAAAAAAATGTATACACACAGCCGCTAATACTCGTGGTGATGGCGTGAATGTTTGTATTAAAGCAACAACATTATCCTTACTTGTGTGTATATACATTTTTTGAGACACTGTATATGACTCTTTCTGTGACGTACTACAAATCCTCATCTGGGCGCCACAATAATTATATATTCCAACACTACAGCTTATTTTACCTGAAGATTAACCACCCTTAATGTTAACCTCGAGACTAATTTTAACTACTATTAGAGTTTGGTACCGTATTTAAATTATCAGAGTAAAATAAATTGGGTTCCAAAATCTTAATTCAGGAGTCCTCGAAAACATATACAACAGCTGATAACTTATAAATATAACTGTTGATCCAGCCACCGACACATACCACAACCCGGAAACCTTTACCCCTCCCCTACAAACACAACACATCCACTCAAAAAACATCCTCCCACACAACATCCTCTTAAAAAACATCCTCCTACACAACATCCTCTTAAATAACATCCCTCAGACAACATCCTCTACAATTCAACATATTCTACATTTCCCTTTGCATATCTTCCTACAAGATTTCACATCCTCAAGATCTCTTCATCAACATTCTCCAAATCCCTCACACACATCCCTCACACACAAATTCCCTCACACATCCCTCCCTCAAGATCCTCACACACAACATTCCTCACACATCCCTCCCTCAAGATCCTCACACACAACATTCCCTCACACATCCCTCCTCAAGATCCTCACACATCCCTCCCCAAGATCCTCACACACAACATCCTCACACATCCCCTCCCACAAGATCCTCACACACATCCCTCCCTCAAGATCCTCACACACATCCCTCTCACACAACATTCCCTCACACACTTCCCTCAAGATCCTCACACACAACATTCCCTCACACATCCCTCCCTCAAGATCCTCACACACATCCTCCCTCAAGATCCTCACACACAACATTCCTCACACATCCTCCCTCAAGATCCTCACACACACATTCCTCCACATCCCTCCCACAAGATCCCTACACACATCCCTCCCACAAGATCCTCACACACCTCCCTCCCTCAAGATCCTCACACACAACATTCCTCACATCCCTCCCACAAGATCCCTTCACACAACATCCTCACACAACATCCCCTCTCCACAAGATCCCTACACACAACATCCCCTCACACACAACATTCCCTCACACATCCCTCCAACAACACCTCACACACATCCCTCAAGATCCTCACACACAACATCCCCTCACACACACATCTCACACATCCCTCCACAACATCCTCCACACACATCCCTCCCTCAAGATCCTCACACACAACATCCTCACACATCCCTCCCTCAATCCTCACCACAACTCCCTCACACATCCTCCCCTGATCCTCACACACATCCCTCCCAAGATCCTCACACACAACATCCCCTCACACATCCCTCCCTCAAGATCCTCCACACATCCCTCCCACAAGATCCTCACTCACAAATCCTCACACATCCCTCCCTCAAGATCCTCACACACAACATCCCTCACACATCCCTCCCTCAAGATCCTCACACATCCTCCCTCAAGATCCTACACACAACATTCCTCACACATCCCTCCCACAAGATCCTCACACACATCCCTCCCTCAAGATCCTCACACACAACATTCCCTCACACATCCCTCCCTCAAGATCCTCACACACAACTATTCCTCACACTCCTCCCTCAAGATCCTCACACACATCCCCTCCCTCAAGTGATCCTCACACACAACATTCCCTCACACATCCCTCCCTCAAGATCCTCACACACAACATTCCCTCACATCCCTCCCTCAAGATCCTCACACACATCCCTCCCACAAGATCCCTCACACACACACATCCCTCCCTCAAGATCCCTCACACACAACATTCCTCACACATCCTCCTTCAAGATCCTCACACACACCTCCTCTCACACATCCCTCCCGTCCTCCTCTGGGGATCCTCACACACAACGTCCCTCCGTGTCCCTCCTCGTCCCCCACCATCCCTCTCAAGATCCTCACACAACATCCTCATCCCTCCCGTCCTCTCACAACATCCCTCCTCCCTCCCTCAAGATCCTCACACACAAACATTCCTACACATCCCCTCCTCCCTCAAGATCCTCACACACACATTTCTCATCTCCCTCCCTCAAGATCCTCACACATCCCCCCAAGATCCTCACACACAACATTCCTCACACATCCCTCCCCAAGATCCTCACACACATCCTCCCACAAGATCCTCACACACAACATCCTCACACATCCTCCCTCAAGATCCCTCACACACAACATCCCTCACATCCCCTCCCTCAAGATCCTCACACACATCCCTCCCCTCAAGATCCTCACACACAACATCCCCTCACACATCCCTCCCTCAAGATCCTCACACACATCCCTCCCTCAAGATCCTCACACACAACATTCCTCACACATCCCTCCCTCAAGTCCTCCACACATCCCTCCTCAAGATCCTCACACAACATTCCCTACACATCCCTCCCTCAAGATCCTACACCCTTCCTCACACATTCCCTCTCAACATCCTCACACACATCCCTCCCACAAGATCCTCTCCACAACATCCCTCACACATCCCTCCCTCATGATCCTCACACACACAACATTCCTCACACATCCCTCCCTCAGTCCCCTCCTCACATCCCTCCCACAAGATCCTCACACACCACTCCCCACACATCCCTCCCCAAGATCCTCACACACACATTCCTCACATTCCTCCCTCAAGATCCTCACACACATCCCTCCTCAAGATCCTCACACACACACATTCCT